GCTTTTTGAATCTTTACTTTGCTGTTTTCATTTTACATAGAAATTTAGTAAAGCTAGTCAATGTCTGTTCATGTAACTCTCCAAAGTGACCAAGCATGATGGTCCGTAAATATAATTATCAATATAATAAAAGTCACTCCAGGGCAACCCAACAGTCATGTCATCAAACTTTAACACAGTGAGCCTGCCAGAGATGTATAGACATTGATGAAAAACACATTAACAAATTAAACATTCATGCAATGTGGTCAATGGACTGTAGAGAAGACCCAATACAATGGTTGCAGACAAAGATGCACATCTAACAAGCCCCCTGGAGGTTAATATTTGTGATATGGTTCCATTAAGACATCATCATAAATAGCCCAAGAATATCACTGGTGTTACTCTGAGGTGGACAACCACAGGCACAAGCTAAGCGCATTAAGACCACAAATAAATACAATGCAGTAGACTTCCACGATAGCTAACCACATGCCCTGTAGTGTTCTTAGGATGCTGTGAGTGTCTATGCAGGGCTCAGGGCACCAGTGCTTGGTTCAGAATGGTAATCAGCCGAGTTGAGATATTGGGTTGAGTGCTGCTTAGTCAGAAACTACGAACAGGTTCTCACATCTACATCTGACACCCACGTGTTATGTCCCTTAGCCACTAAATTATGACTTGCCATTCAGGAGTATTTATATTGATATGGCACATTGTTTTGAAATTACACTAAACTTATCCGTAAATTCGATTTGACGTAATAATTACAATTTGAGACCTTGCCAGGGTACACTTTGGCATATTTTCTCATATTTATTATATCCATTAATACTTATGCAATTCACATTTGATTTTCGAGCTATAGAAGGCACGGAAAAGTGAATTGTGGAATGGAGCATGCGCTGTGATTTTTGAATACTGCAGTAAATGAGGAACCTATCCCAGACAGCCTGCACACATCCATCTGATGCATTATCTCGAAACCGAGAATAAGCAATGCACGGTGCCTAAACAGTGGTGCCGTTACGTTTGCCGCGCTGCCATAGTCAACCCTTTAGGGAGGGTTTCTGAAAGTTTCTCCACCTCGGAGATATTCATTCGGATAAGGCAGAATAATTACTACACTTGATTTGCTGTGCAGGAAATCCATACAAATGGTATTTTTCTCCAAAAACTTGTAGCTAAAGTGCCACTTAGATTGTGTGCAATATGCTAACTTTGTATTTCTTTGTGTAGTTCAACAAAATAAATATATACACACAACTAATTCAGCATTTAATGTTATATATATGAACACCCAACCTATGGTCCATTGAAAACATTTCAAGGGGCATATGGGTGTTACTCCTACATTGTGGCAGAGTATGCTTCTCGCAGGAATGCTGCTGCGGTGTAGGGTAAGCACAATGGATTCATAATCCAGAGGTCCGATGTCCGAACTCATTAAGAAGGATTTGAAACAATGAGTAAGTTTCTTAACTCACCCCCTCCCCGAGCCTCTTGTCCACTCAGCAGTTTAAATGGCTACGCCTGCAATATGTTAATCAGCAGGTCGCGTGTGCGGTGGGAAAAATGTGGCTACTCCCACCTATTCCAAGATGCATCATCAGCATATTAGACTCGACAAAATACCCTGCGTCCAATGGAGGCCCCTTTCAGCAGCAGAAGATGTCATAGCTGCACCTTTACCAGTCGGAAAATGAGCGGCGGCTCTGCTGTACACATACTAATCTCTACCACAGGAAGGCAGGATTTCCACCCAATTTCAGCGCCACTAATAGAGAACCACATTGCCCAATTTAGTGTGGGGACACACTAACATTTCCTGCCGTTGCATTGCACTTTTTCAAACAATGATATAGATGCTAAAGCACTGTGTGAGAGAGAGAGAGAAAAACATTCATTTCCTTTGACAGGTATGGTCATATCAGGTAAATGCGCAGTGGAATCAAGTGCTACGGAACCATTATAAACCCTGGTTTATGGTGTATGTCGATTAGATACCACCCACCATGACAGCCAAACAGCAACAAAAAAGAGATTGCACATTCCGACAAAGTGACACATGAGAAACTAAGTGATTCTTCAACTTTACCATCAATAAATATCCCACACAGCACTGAGGGATTAGTTGGCATGCCAGGATTGCCCTCTGCTTTTGTCTGCCCAGATTGGGCCTGTCAACCTATTCCGCAGGCACCCTTGTAAGTCTGGCCAAAAGCCTACTTCACCAAACAGCCGGACTTTTTGGAGCTGACTCAGCACTCACGAAGGACACTATAGCATTACATTCATTGTGGGGTTTGCCCCAGAGTAGTGGCACAGACTTCAATCTAAGTACCACTCTCTGGGCGTGAGTATCCAGCTAATTAGTGTAGATTGAAAACAATATTAGTCTCTCTCTGCTTGCACGTGCATGACTGAGTGGTGGAAATTCCACATTTCTTTGGCAAGGTACACAGAGTGCATTATCAGAAGCCCAAAGTTATAGTCTGGGAAGCTGAGTAGATTTTCAGACATGCCCCTCTTCACCAAACCGTGTGATGAAGTATGGTAAACATAACATATAGTGTGATGAATACATTATAAAACCATAATTGTAAGATCTTTTTAGCAATTAATTGGTAACCAGACTGAGCCTGCAAACATTACCCGCCTGGCAACGTGGTTTAACCTGGGGCGTCATGGTGGCGAGATGGTAACTACCTTGCATGGTATACAAGAGCTCGTGTGTTCGATATCGACCCTAACGCCTGCCATATATTTGGAGTTTGCATGTTCTCTCCAGGATCGCGTGGACTTTTCTTTGGTTCCTCCGAGTTTACCTCCACATTTAGAAACATGGTTTTACAGTATTTGGCTGCTATACATTTCGACTTAATATGAGCTATCATTTGTGGCCAGTTCGCTTCTTAAAAAGAGTTGTATAGCTCAATGGGCCTTACCTGGTAAAATAAAATGAAAATACCTCAACCGGTTCCCCACATTAGAGTTGTTTTGGTACTACCTGGCATTGGCATGATCTGTTTAAGACTCAGATACCTCCATAGTTCAACTAATTTAATCAATTAATCATTAATTAATAAATTAACAAAAATACGCATCATGTGATGACGTACATAATGGTATTCATGTCACTTCCAGTGAATTCGCATTTTCAGATCGATTTGAAAAAATGGGATCATCCAAAGTGTTGTACTGAGGCCCAATTTTTTTTTTTTACATTAATCTGCAAATCGGGAACATATTCCTTGTACAAAGGAGCAGGTGGCTTTGCTTTAAGGCCATGTTCGTGAAATATGATCACAATATTGCAAGATAAAAGGAATCTCCTGTGAATATTCTTTAATTATTTATCTACACCGACATCCACAGTGACACCGCGGTTCTAGTTGCCTCTATTCAGAAGGTCACGCAAGTAGTTTAGGGCAGTATGCAGGTGCCGTGCAAGATGAATGCAATGGGGGCCCAGCAGTAAGGCAGCGTAATAGTTGCACACGCGTGAAGGTGCAATTGTCCCACACGGGCGGTCTCTGAACTCCTCCTCGAATTTCCCCCTGCGTGGTCCTCCAAATTACACAGTGTGCATCGAGCTCCAAAAAAAACCCCTTAGTACACATCCTGCCAGAACACCACCACTCAGTCCCCCCCCCCCGCAACTCCGATTAGCACAGTTGGCTCCGTATGGCGCAACAGAAGTTCTACATGAATTCACTGGAAGTAGCATCACTTCCATTATGTCATGTCCACACTATTAATACTAAAAGCGTAATCACGTGATGCAGATTTTTTTCTCAATTGATTAATTACTGATTAATTTGTTAAACTAATTGAACTATGTAGGTATCTGAGTGTCTCAATGAGATTATGCCCATGTCAACTTGCATATGGGGAATCGGTTGAGGTATTTTTATATTATTTTACTGGGCAAGGCCGACTGAGCGATACAGCTCTTTTGTTCAGAAGCGACCTGGGCTCAAATGATTGCTCAACGAAATTGCTTATCACATGGTCATTTATAAGCAGCCAACTGCTCTAAATGCGTTGATTCTAAATGTGGGCAAAATGACACGAAAAACACTGTAACATAAAACACAAGAAGGACAACAACAGTACCACACACAAAATACTCCATCTGAGCTTTCTAAAAAGCTGAGTGCCACTTGCACTCTCTTGCTGTCATAAATGAAACATTGCTTGCATGTTGGTTGGATAAAGCTAATGACATGCCCGACAGACATTGTAGTCTTTAAATATACTGCAGCGTTATTGACAAATTCTCCCGACACATTTATGTGTAATATTTAACTGCATGCCACGATTGGAAAATGATTTATGATTCTAATATCAGGCAGCTTCTTACATAATGCGACGAGGTTTTTTTTAACATATGACCATTTTAGTTGGTGATATACACAAACATTGAAATTAACACCCAGATAAACATGCTAATTGTCATCATGTGGTTCATAACAATTTCCCCCTCTTGTGATTTGATGAATTATCACGACTTGGGGTCTCATTTGATTCAAGAATGGACAGTTTTATTTTGTTGTTACATGGTGGTGCAATGTAGAGCCTCTGGCAGGTGCAAGGATCTCGTGAGTTTAGTGATAATGAGCGAGCTCATTTAATTGATCATATTTCAATGATCGCGGCTATAGGTAATGGCCATCCCAATACATTGAAAAAGATAAGGGCGACGCCCTGCAATTGCTTGCTCGCACTATATTTGGCAGAAGGGCATCAACTAAACGGAGCTCCAGAGAGCCTCAAATATGTCATTATGAATGTGGTGAGTTTTCGAATTACGCGCTTGAATTACGACCGGCACCTTTTGAATTTGAATGTCTCAAATTTCCTAACGTTCAGGAATTTGAAGTCGATGCACTAGTGCTCTCCCGTCAGCTATGATGTATTTTGGTTAACCACCGATCATTCACTGTTTCTGATTGCTTAGGATTCCGGATCATGGTATGCAATTTTGATTTGCTTTTCCGTGCCTTATCTTCAAGGTCCACCTGTGGACGTTCGAGTGAACATTTTCATTAACAGCTTCGGGTCCATCCAGGAAACCACAATGGTGAGTTTCTCACTTCATTTCAATTTGAATTCGAAACCACTTGATTGTGCATTATGGTAAACATTTGGACATGCACGCTAACAACACTCATCACATATATGTTCAAAATGTCTGCCATTGTTTTATGAATTACGACTTCCGTAAGGGTGCTAATATTTTACAAGTGTGTTCGTAATGATCAGCATTGTCGCATACGTTCCCCTGATGTCTTATTAATTGTCGCGTTATATTTAACAATTGTGAGTTAATCCTGGGGCATGGTGTTCAAATGTGATAATGCCTGTGTAGTGACATCGGCACCATACAGTGACATCGGAGATGTCATCAGAGATGTCACTGTGTGGTGCCGGCCTGAGAGGGCCACGGAAAGCGATGCACTGTCATCGCATACACCTTGTGGGCGGGTGTAGTACCAGCCCTAGCAGGGCTTGGTGTGCACTGGTATAATGCGAGCACCACGCATAGCGTGTGGTGCGAGCCCCCACAGGGGAGAGTGAGAGAGTGTCAGGCCCCCAGGTGGGGGGACTAGGGGGTGATCACGTGTCCGGGGAGAGCTCTCGAGAGGGATCGAGAGGGAGTTGTAAGGCTCTAGAAAGGGGCGGGGCCAAGGGCGGAGCGGCCCCGACCCTATGGGGGGATATAAGATGGGTACCTGAGAGGGACTGGGGTCGCTGCATTCTACAAGCTAGAAGCTCTACGTCTCAAGCTGGAAGCTCTACGTCCTATGACGTAACCACATGATCATAGACCTGAGTGAGAGGGTCTGACTCTCCGTAGCTGTAACTTCTCTGTATAGTGTAGCTAGCTGGGTGGTCACCACCCTAGGCTGTATTCAGTAAAGGGGCAGTTACCCCTTTGTGTTATGTGTTACAAAAAATGTGTTGCCTCTGAAAGGAACAATGTCTGTGACTCAGCTGGACCCACTACAACTGGTGTCGGAAGTGGCCAACATGCTAGTTATTCAGCTAGCTGTAGACTATGTCTACGCGTCGCAGACCGAGTACCTGGGCGTTGGACGGCGAGGACCTCGGCCAGCCTACAGCTTTAGTGGTTGCGGGGGAGATGCTGCCAGCAGAGCAGGGCGCAATCCGGGCGCTCGATGCTTCGCTGTTGGTGGTAGCAACTCTCGGGGAGGTGCACAATCGCCTCGCGGAGCTCCTCCATGCAGCGACTTCACTTCTCGTGGAGTTTAGCCTCGCGGTCTCGCCGGCGAAGGAGGGTGCGGAGAGGCCGCTCGTGTATGGCGACTCCTCCGCCATTTCATGTCGGGCGGGAAACTCGGTGGTGCAGCCCGCACTTTCGGCCGCCATTTTATCGCTGGCGCAATGCGCACAGCCCGCCAAAATTGAAGATGCGCCATTGGCACCGAGGGACGTTCCGGCTCTCCAACGTCGGCCTTCCCTTGTTGAAAACTTCATGGCTACCAGTGGCGACTGGGTGGCCTTCAAGCGACGGTTCCTCACGAACGCAGGCTTGGTGGGCTGGTCGGAGATGGAGGCGCTGCGGGCGCTACCTGCCACTCTTGAGGACGACACCCTTGCGGCGTTTCTCACCATCCCACCACCGGAGAGATCCACCCTCACAAGCCTTTGACCAGTTGGCGTCCATTTACGAGCCTCCGGCTGACGCGCGCCACAAAGTCGCCAAGTGCGTCCGAGTCCAGCAACTTCTCTATTGGGACAGGGCGCTGATTGACTAGTGCCGTGTCCCGCTCGGAGCCAGGGTCATTGGATGAAGCGGAGCCCCTTGCGGCTTGCGCGTCGACTCGGGGTGGTGGTGACTGGTGTGATGGTGGCGCGCGACAGGCGAATGAGAGGCGGCGGCCAAGGTCGTCATCTCGTTCCAGAGGCGGCCGTCTTACCTGCTACCAGTGCGGCCTGCCAGGCCACGTGGCATCGGGCTGCCGCGTCCTACAACGGCGCCTTCTGGCATCACCACCATCCTACGCTTCTCTACACCAAGTTGTGACGCAATCCACACTCGACCCCTGGCCTCACCTCACTCATCTAGGCATGTTGGTTCGCGGCCCGATCACGCGTCGGTCCAGGGAAGTCCTACGCCTGATCAAGAGGTGCGTCAGCTCCGACCGGATCAGTGGTCGGAGCTGACCCATCGAGTGGGGACTGCTACCGCGGGTTCATCTACCGTGCTGGGGTCCATTGAAGGTGTTGAACTAAGGATGCTAATCGACATAGATGCATCGGCATATATCATTTCGGAGCTGATTTTCAACATTTTGCCCCCTAAGTGTTGGATTCTAGACCCTGTCGATGCACCGTGTGTCGCCGCTGATGGCGGCTCATTGGGTATTGTCGGTCGGATAACGGCTGAGGTGTGCATCGCTGAGATTGTCAGGACACATTCTTGTCTCCACGTCCCTGAAATCTGCATTGATCGCGGCTGTTTGGAATTCCCATCTGGACATCGTGTGACATTTTTACATACAACCGCATACCCGGTTGTATGCGGCCAATGCTACGGTGCAGGTGGTTGTTCCCCTACACTTGAGGAAGTGCTCGATTTGGGTGCTACGGGGTACGGAAGTGTAGCTCAGACGTTGGTGTCCGACGACCAGGAACCTTTTATTCAGGTTCTTCATGCTGGGTTGGACACCAAGGTCATCCAGGAGGGTACGGTGTTGGGTCATGGGTTGCTGACACTTCCGGAAGGGGGCGTTGTCGAGGATGTGGGTGCTGAGGCTTGCACACGACGATCCCGGGATGGGTGATTTTTGCTTTATCCATCCCTCTCGCATGGAACCGGTTATCCCGCCGTGCGAATTCATCTCATCTCCATATCGCTGGGGCCAAGTGTCGAGTGCGACCCGGGGTGTGTGCCCGCTGCGGTTGGTCCTGGGTGAAACAGCCGCGCATGCCAGCTTCGCGGGTTTCAAGAGTGGTGGATCCATCGACCCGGCCTGCTGCTCTCCGTGAGGAGCCGGGTTCAGTGGAACATTTGGACATTTCCCCCAGGACCTCCAGGGTGAGCGAGCCCATCTCCCCTGGGGACCCGGCATCACGCACTCGCTGAAAGACTGTTTTTAGTGATTTCCTCGCACACACGCTCCTACGTTGTCAGTTGCTTGTCGCGCTTGTTGTGTCGTGGCGGTCATTGGCTGATCCTGGCCGCCATTGAGCTCGCGCGCGTCATTACACGGTGAAGGTGGGAGGTGTGATGGTAAGAGGGATCCTGAAGGTTACGCATTTTTATTACTTGTTGTTGTTATGATGGGGTTTTAATGTTGGTTGTTGTTATGGGTTCGTTGGTTATCACCCTTTTCCCCGTGGGTTTTGTACATTTGTGTATAGTGTAATTTTTGTACAGGTGAGTTGGGTATTTATTTTTGTTCTGTTATTGTTGAAGCACACTGTGGTTCTTGCATTTTAATTGATTGTTCATTAAAAGGGGGAGTTGGCAGCCGGGACGGTTGAATGCTACAGTGGTGGGGGTGATGTCGTGACATCGGGAATGTCACTGTATGGTGCCATCCTCAGAGGGCCACGGCACGCCATGCACTGTCATCACATTCACCCCGTGGGCGGGTGTAGTACCAGCCCTAGCGGGGCTTGGTGTGTGTTGTTGTTAGCGTGGGCACCACGGATAGCGTGTGGTGTGAGCCCCACAGGGGGGAGTGGGGAAGTGTCAGCCCAGGGGCAGGGTTGCCCCGGGACATGTCACTCTGGTTGACCCCGCAGACACGTGATCTGGAGTGTCCACAGAGAGGCCCCCAGGTGGTGGGGGGACTAGCGGGTGATCACGTGTCCGGGGAGAGTTGGAAGGATTTAGAAGGGGGCAGGGCAAAGGGCAGAGTGGTCCCGACCCGTGGGGGGATATAAGGCGTGTCCCTGAGAGGGAACGGGGTCGCTGAATTCTACCAGCTGGAAGCTCTACGTCTCAAGCTGGAAGCTCTATGCCCAACGAGGCAACCACGTGGTCACATACCCGAGTGAGAGGGTCCGACCCTCCGTAGCTGTAACTCCTCTGTATTGGCTGTATCTGGTAAAGGGGCAATTACCCCTCTGTGTTATGTGTTATAAATAAATGTGTTGCCTCTAAAAGGAACAACGTCTGCGACTCAGTTGGACCCACTACACCTGCAATGCTCCTCCTGGCTGGACTGGAGCTGGGTTGATGGCAATGCCATTGGGTCACCCACCGATCGTTCCTGCAGCAGCAGCACCGCCTGAATGTAATAAGAAGCCCTAGCTGTCAATACAGATCTCTTTCAGCTAGAGGTATGCCTGGTTTGCTCTTAACAGTGCCGGAACTTTATTTTCTGTAAAAGCACAGCCTCAAATGGTATTTCTGTGTCCAGTGCATTGTTTTAATGGCCCAATTTTCTTTTTTGGTGGAGATGAAACACATACCCTTGCCATCACACATGTACTCGCATAACAGAATGTGTTTGGCTGAAAACGGCAAACATCAGGTGGTATATTGTGACCTATCGTGACCTTCGGTGCCCAATCGTCATTGCCATGTGATGTAAACTGATCAAATCATATATAACTTATTGCAACAGCTCTCTCGCTGGTTCAGTAGTTCCACTGCTGGATTTTTTTCCGCCTAAGGTCGACCGCTTGTGTTGCGATCGAAACGTCGTGATTTATTATTATTTTTTCTACCTACATGACTTTACCGAAAGAACCAAAGAGTATGGATTACTGCAGTAACGAACGCTTCAAATAAAGATTAATTTCAGTTTAATTTATTTTCAGGTTAATTTATTTGGTATAGCCCTGTGAGCCATTCGGCTCGTGAATCGGGTGCAACCGCAGCAAGCAAAATATATTAACTGCAGCTGAAACAAATTATAACTGAACAATAATAATGTTTCTGGCGCATCGTGGCCTTTGAAGAGATGTGAGCGTTGGGTGTCCATAGGCCCGAAAAGGTTTGGAAACACTTGGCTATACTATTGTTTCGATTTAAAGCTTTCGTGACTGCAGGGATTCATCTTCTTGGTTCTTTCGGTAAAGTCACGTAGAAGGGAAGTAATA